GAGGAGGCGGCCGAGGAGGAGCCGGTGTCGCGGCCCGTGCTCACCGGCCTCAGCACGCAGAGCCCCCCGCCCGGCAGCGTCGTGAGCCGCGCGGACACCGTCGTGAGCCTCGTGAACATGGGTGAGCCCCGCGGGGGCGGCGGGCGCCGGGGCTGCGCTGGCGGGACCAGCCGAGCTGCACCGCATCCCGCGGAGAAACCCGCAGAGCTGGCACTGCCATCTCCGAGCATCCGCGGCGCCTTTGGTGCTCGGAAACGCCGCCGCTGCCCGGGGATGGCTCGGGGACCGCGGGGGCAGCAGGGGCCGCCCGGCTGCTGCTGTGGCAGGGGGCAGCTGCCCCTGTCCCCGCAGCTCCCCACAAACAGGGGGAGATAAGGGACAAGAGCCCTAGGGTGGCACTGCTGCGTAACACGGTCCCCATGGGCACAAGCCCGGCTTGGTGCTGTCCCCAAGCTGCAAAGTACTGGGACTCTCCCAGGCAAGTGCTCCCTGTGTCGCAGCACAGCCAAGGGGAGCTGGAAACCACCGCGGGATGGGGCAGGTGCCGAAACGCCTTCAATTAAAAGAGCAAATGTGGAGCAAGCTCCAGGTCTCGGCGGCTCCGTGACTCCGGAGCTGCCGTGGAGGGGCTGAGCCGCAGGGCGGCTGTGCTTGCTCGTGGTGTGGGGAGGGTGCTGGTTGCAGGCACCAGGGAACAACGCTCCGGGGAAAGGAGCGGGTGATAGTCAGGGTTTCCTCCACCTAACGCAAGGTGCAAGGGGCGCAAGGACCCAGGTGCTCCCGCCGGGCCCTCCAATTGCATCGTGTGCCCTGGGGACACGAGAGCAGCCCGGCGGGTGTGCGGGAAGGCCAGCACCAGGGTGGACCAACTTACCCACGCTGGGACACTGAATCACAGCGCCAGAATAAAATCCTTGGGCTTGCTAATTACTGCTGGAATCCCGTCCGGCTGGTTGCTGAGCCATGGGCGCCACGCTCTGTGTCGGAGCCGGGCGCTTCCCAGGCCACCTCGCCGAGCCGAGGAGCCACACGTGGGATGCAGTGGATACTGTGGAGCTGGGGACAGAGCCCAGGGCAGCCCCGCAGGGCTGGAGCTGCCGGGACAGTGCCAAGCAAGGGGATGGATGATGGAAAACACCTCCCTGGCAGCAGCGTAACCAGGCAGGGAAGGTTTGGGAATGCGTTTGCAATCCCATCCCTACTCCATTGCGGGATATGAGCTCCCAGAAAGGGCTTTAAAGTGAGTCGGGGCGCCTAAGGCAGCGGCGCTGGGCGGCTCGGGTGGAGCGAGGGCTGCGGCGGAGCCGGCGCGACGGCCGAGCGCCCGCGGGCGCAGCCGGGGCGCGCGGCTGCAGCCTGCAATTTGAATGGCTTTGATTCCCGCGGCCTCGCCAGCCCGGCATGCTAACGAAGGAAGCTCCCGTGGGCGAGGGCTAGCTGGCATTTGCCTGTGTAATTCCCTGTGCGTAATTCCCTATGTGTAATTCCCTGCGTGTCCTTCTTCCCGGTGCAGGAGGGGATGCAAATGGAGCAGCTTGAGCCTGGGCTTTCTGTGAGCCACCTTGCAGAGGTTCATAGGTTTCCAAGGGCTCTGAGCTTTCCTTGACACTGGGACCTGTGTTTTGATGCTGACTCTCTTTGCAAAGCAAATGCAAAGAGCAAGTGCTTGGGTCTGGCCCCTCGCCAAGGCAGCACCCATGGGTGCCAACACTTCTGTGCAA